GTTTTCTAATATCCTTAAAAACATTATAGACTTATTATAGGCTTTTTGTGACAGCTCTTAATGACATGTAGCAGGCAACAATCCTTGGCTTCACATAGGGCTCTCTTGGGAAGGGCTACTACATAAGCCTGGACTTTTTTCCCCCTGCCTCTTTCGATCCTAATGCTTTGACTACAATAAGCCAACAGCCCCTGAATATCATCTTGCATAAGTACTTTGAGAGCTTAACACATACTGGCTTACCAAGTCTTTTCAAATGGACTCAGAGATGTCCGGCGATGCAAATCATCCAAACAAAGTCTTTATATTTAAGCACCTCACCACATATTTGCTTCTTGCACAGGCAACTCAGTCTAAAATTACCTTCTATCACAATCTTGAATACCTATATACCTTTGTACTATTAATAACTTTTCAACATAGTGCCTAGGAGAATAGGCATTTAATTTGCTGGCTGAGTAAAATGATGGACTTCTATCTCATTATTGGTGATACAAATCTGCATGAAATAACTATGAACTCTGATATGATCCAACCATCCTAGAGAAATACAGGCCAATATGCCACAAGATCTGTTGAGTAACTGAAGAGCCCAGATGTACTGAAGGTTGAATACATGTTGCTGGCACAATGTCACAAGTCTGACTGTGCCAGGTGAGGTGACAAATAGGTAGCTGTGTCATCATCTTGCTTTATATCTTGGTGGTGTAATTCCACAGTCATTTTAGAATTTAACATGCATATTTGGGCATCTATTAAATTCAAATTGCAGAAAGCTTAAAATTTCCATAGCATCCTAAAAGTATAAAGATTATTTTCAATATGGTATAAGAATTCACTTAAAAAAATACTAAGGTTAAATGTTGCCACACTCCAGAAGAGACCTCAACTTTCAGAAACAAGAGATGAGCTCTCCTTCACACTCTATCACAAAGGGGGAGGAAAACGGAGGGGCAGCCAGACAGGCTGGGAGTGGGATAGAATGTGAGAGCTTCTTGAAAGTATGATTTATATAAATTTGCCACTATACCAATATATTAACAATTACTAGTAATAATTTCCTTGTTGTTTAAAAGGTTTGCTTGACTCATACAGTATTTAACAATACTATTTTCTTAAGGGGTCACTAATTATCTCAGTGTTACACACACTCATACACACACAGATTGCACAAAATATGGTCTTGATTTTCCTATCTTTTAGTATCGAGCCTTGAAAAACAACCTTGCCAATGTCTTACTCAAAGTATTCCACACTTTCATGTTGGATGCATTACCCAGAGTTTAAATATGAATGATTTTATGATTAGATATTCTAGTCACCTGAAGTCACCTTTTTATGGCCCCTAAATCTTGATTTCAAAATCTAGAAAACATCTCAACAAACAAGAATTTTCAAGGGGGTAAAACCCTAATGACGGATTTGAAGATGAGGCAATATATTTATCACTGATCTTAATTACTATTTGCTGACTGCCTCCACTGTCCTGTGAGCATTCTCTTCTATCCAACCTAGGAGGTAGAGATCAACCATCATACTGTTGTGAGCTGTGAGGGAACTTGATATTCTTTATTCACTGAACAAAAACCTTATAACCTGATCCTGCCTGCACTTTGGCCATAAATGCTGCCCGCGCAGCTGAGGCTTTCAGAGTGGCTCTCTGAGAAAGGGAGGACACCCTGTCTGCCCAAGATCAGTTTACTCCACAACTAGAAAGGGCTCACTTTGAAATAAGTATCCCCTGCTTGGGGGTTCAGAATTTATGCATCTGTACTTGTGTCCATGACAATTTTATTGCATGTCCAGGAAACAGAACAATTAAAGTGGCGCTCAGACAGGAGTCTAGCTTCTGAAAATCTAACATCTCTACTAAATGATATAGAATATATTAAGATCAGGGCAACCACATTTGATGTAAAAATTTAATAGGTCGTATGTTGTGAATTACATATGAGTTTATATTCACTGAAGTCAACTGGCTATAGTCGGTTTCTTCCTGTACTAGGCTGAAAAGAAGGGCCCAGACTAGGAAGGCTGGGATTTAAATAAAAGATATTAGATCCTTCTGTTCCCAGGCTGAAACAGGGATTAGAATAACACATTTAAATACCTTAATGTTTTTAGCACAAAAAGCATTAATTCGATACTCTGCTTCCTTGAAATGCTTTATTAAAGCCCCCAAAACTCTCTCAGGAGTGTCTGCCTTCCTTGGAGTTAACATACATTTATTGTTCTCCACTGCAAATTTCACTAGTATTTCCAAACAGCGTGCCTGGCCTCTGCTGTGGGGATGGTGGGAATAGGAAATAGAACCAAGATGAAACCTGAGAAGGCTTTGAGTTTTGACATTTCAGAGCAAGCTTATGGCTCCTTCAGGACCAAGCATCATGAGCTCATGCACCACTGAAAGTAAATGACGACCAAGATGCTTAATAGAATGATTTTAATTAGACCTGCCCTTCACCTGTCACAAAGGTCATCTGGTTACCAATCCAATACATAAGCAAAACTGTAACTACCTGTACTCCAGAAAAAGTGGGGCAGCCTGTCTGCCTCTTGACTTTTACTCCAGGCCTAATCCAAGCAACCAAGAACCTTAAAAGCCACAGGGATGGCAGTGACAAACACCATGTGCCCCACTCTCTCAAACTGGAAAATCTAAGAGTGGAATTTGTTGAGTGGAAATGCAGAGAAGTCAAACAAAGCTCCTTCTTCTAAGAATCATAAATTCCTACTCAAACCTAGAGCCTGTACTTAATAAGCTGCTAATTCTTGATCTCAAGAGCAGGAAATGAGAATGGTTTTCTGGGGGTACATTTGTCCAAACCCATAGAATATACACCAAGAGTGAACTCTAATATAAACTATGGACTCTGGGTGATAAGGATATGTCAATGTAGGTTCACTGATTGTAACAAATGTACCACTGTATGGGGGGATGTTGATAGTGGGGGAAGCTCTGTGCATGTTGTAAAAATCTCTGTACCTTCCACTCAGTTTTGCTGTGAACCTAAAACTGTTCTAAAAAATAAAGTCTATTGGGGGTGGGGGAAGCATCAGCATTCTACCATTGCCACAGAAGAACACGCAAATGACTCCTACTGGTTCTATACATCAGCTAAAGTCCTGGAAAGTGACAGAGAAAGATCTACAGACATCAGGTGGATGGGATTGGGGCCTGGGTGAGGAAGGAGTGAGTATAGGCACAGTGACCAATCACATGAAGGTCTATGTTAGGAGAGAACACGAGCCCCAAGACACTCTACCCACAGGAGAAATTAATGATAACAGCTAAGTATAGGAGTAGTCAACTTAATCTATTGCAAGCTTAATTAATTTGTAAGTTGCTCTTCTAATTGATTAAGACTACCACAGTAACACTTCTTTGGATAAAGTCTGGTCTGAAATGTGGTTGGCTGTGTATTTCTGTCTCCATAATTAGGCTATTAGCTACCTGGCTTTAGGGATTTCTATTACTCATCTTTAAAACCTATAGCATCAAATATGGTAGGTAACAAACAAATGTCTGTTGAATTACCAATTTTTCAATGATTGTTTTGGACTTCAAACATAGCTCTCCTTGTTTTCCTTCTTAATTTTAATTGTTTGTATTTCATGTTCAAGAATATACTTATCATACTAAATGAATAATGATCATCTTTCAGTTTTGATCAAAGAAAAAGAAAGGTTAAAGTATTTGTTCATTACAATGCCTGTTCAGAGAAGCCCAAATCTCAACCTTCAAGTTCACCTGGTAGCTGCACTTTTCAGAGGCAATTAGTATACTAACTACCACCTTTACCATGCTACCACCTCCTATAAGCAACAGCCACCACCTAAAAATCAAGTTTGCCAATTATGTGGTTTGGTAGGTGGGGTCAGTGCTACCAACACCTGCCCCATTCACCTTGAATGGCATGCAGTGGTCAAGAGAGCAAGGTCACACTGCTGTCAGGGCAGAGAGCCCAATCCTGAGCTTGTAGAGGAGCTCAAGACCAGAGCTAGCTACACACATGCCTGCTTGGATTAGATCTACAACCAGAGGGGAGTTTAGAATGAAGAAAGTTCCAGCCAAGAAACCGGAGAAGTCAAGGGGACATTTCAGGAACACTTTTAGCAGGGGTTCCCAGCTTTATGCAGAAGGCATAAAAGTCTAGAAATGCAATGCAGAAGGTGAGAAATACTTAAATCTTGCAATTATACCCACCCTCAAGTTGAGAATAGGAGTCATCAACAAACTGAGCCTCAACTAAGGGAATATGATAGGAAAGGCTAAAGCAGTGTCATAGCAAAGTTAGGGTGAATATCCTCTTTTCCTTTTATGTCTCACACACGAATGCATAGTACATCATTAAATTGCATTGGTATATACTATAGAAAGAATCTAAAGTAGTGATACCCTTGGTGTCATAATTTTTTAAACAATATAACAAAATGACCTATCACCCACTTAGAGTGACCCAGTTTCCAAGACAAAGTGACAAAGGCATGCCAGGCCTTCCTTTGGGCTCCAGGGACATACTGGTGATAAAAGTATGCACTGTGCCCAAGAAAGCTTGCTTCCCGCCCCCCAATCATACACCCCACACCCAGATTCTGTGGCCTGTGGTCCAAGGTGATACTAACCTACACGTGGGGGAAAGCTTTTATGATCCTGTGGGTTGCTAAGAAAATTCTACCCTTCTTAAAATAATAGTTCTCATCTTCCCCATCCCTGAGTTAGTTCTATTTCAGGTTTTCAGTGTGCTCCAAGTTTGAGCTGTGGAGAAGGGAGGACATAATTCAGGTGATGACCACTTGTGATCAGAGGAACAATGACCACGTGTGATCAGAGGGATGGTGGAGAATGCTCGAATTCCTCAAGTGAGAGGAACCCACAGATAGGGCAGAACTGGCATCCTTGCCTCTGCTCACCCTCCCTGGCTCTGTTTTCTCTCCTCTGTGACCAACAATGAAGATTTCTAATGTTTCTTAAGCTCTAAATATACTGCTTTTTCTTTTTTTAAATGGAATGCCTCACAAATTTATGTATCATCCTTATGCAGGGACCATGCTAATCTCTGTATTTTTCCAATTTTAGTCTATGTGCTGCCGAAGCAAGCATTAAAACCTATACTTTCTGGGATGCCTGGGGGGCTCAGCAGTTGAGTGTCTGCCTTTGGCTCAGGTCATGATCCTGGGATCCAGAATCAAGTCCTGCATCGGCTCCCTGCGGAGAGGGAAACCCTCTGCCTATGTTTCTGCCTGTGTTTCTCATGAATAAATAAATAAATCTTAAAAAAAAACCTATACTTTTAGGCTGAAAGCAAAAATATTTTATTCTTTTATTATTATTATTAATAAAAATAAAATAATAAATATATAATAATAAATAATATATAAAATAAAATAATAAAAATAAAGTAATAAATATAATAAATAATAATAATAATAATAATACATAATAATAAAGGAGCAGCAGCAGCAAGTGCTGATTTAACACACATTACCTATTCATCAGTAACCGAGGTAAGCACCCCTCATGCACCAGCTAATTTAATTCTCATTTTGACTCTGAGAAATCAGTGGTGTCATCCTGACCAACTCAAGGGCAAGAAAACTAGGCTCAAAGAGGTTGGCACAGTGTGCCCAAGGTCAAAGAACCCAACAAGTGGCCAAGACAGTGCCTAACCGCAGCTCTCTCACCCAGGGTCTCTCTGCTCAGCCACTCTGCTACTGTACAAACACTCACTAGAGAAGCTCACAGAGTTCTGCTGAGCAATCAGGCGCTGGGCCAGGCCAGGCTGGGGAACACAGCACAGGCAAGGAATCATCTACACCCAGCACTCTAAGAGCCCCATAAAGTTACCTGAAGGATCAGGTTCTTGCTTTTAGCTTGAAGGTCTCGCCACTGCCACATGCCTCACATGATAGTCATGAAGACCGAATAAATGCTGAAGGTGAGGAACCATTTTGAAAGATGGGGAAAAAAACCCCACATCTAGCTTCTACCTGACTCTTGGCTAAATGCCAACCACCCTTCATCACCTCTCCCATTGAGGACACCATCCAGGTTTCATGCCTGTGCTGGCTAGTAAGGTCCTCCCCTAAGTTACCGGCTTCAGGGCCTCCCAGGATTTCTGGATGGAGGTGGGATGAGAAAAAGCAAAGAACATTTTGGCTCATGTGTCCCTATTTGAATTTACCACCAACTCCCTTAAAGTCCTGTATCAGATTGTTTTCACATATAATTTTACATAATTTCTTTATATCCAAAACTGTTAAATTGCATACTGACTCACACTAATATTCATATATACTGAATATGAATGTGTGTAAACAAAATGAGAGTGTGCGTTATTGCAGGGTAAAGATTACGTCTTCAGTTTTTACTTGTCCATACATCCAACAAAGTGCTCAGTGCACAATGGCTACTGCTAAGTTTACCTCCACGGATCACATTGCAGAAATAATAGAAGCAGTTCTGCTAGATGCTGGGAGGGAAATGGAGCACACAGGGGCTTAGAGCAGCAAGCAAATGGGAACAGAGAACAATGGTCAACACATCATTCTCAGAAGCTTTGTCCCTAGGTGAAGTTGGGAGTTAAACTGGGGAAAGCCTACCTCTGAAGATGGAGTTGTAATAATATTAGAGGGTTTTTTTGAATAATTAGAACTGTGTAATTAGCTTAGTCTGCCCTCATACCGTAAAATCATGTCAGCTGTTTATCAGAACACGTTACAAACACCACCACCACAAGCATGATCCCCCCTCAAACAGTATCAAACATGGAAGTATGATTCTCATTCATGTACTAGAAACAGTTTTTCCTCTTCCTCTGGTCTCTCGAAGTGAAACAAAACAGAAAACAACCCAATAGGGATAAATTAATAAAATGGAAGTCTATAATCCATTTTACTCTTCCCAAAGAAAAGGTATAGAAATTGATAGAAGACAAATTTCAAACAAGCCTACCCATGTAAAATAACACCAATGAATAAGTCAAAAACAGAACTAGCCCTTCCAACAGATGACCATTTTCAGTCAGCATCACATCACAGATGATCTGTTGTTATAGTAAAAAAATAGAATCTAAAAAGCACTTTATCTCTCAAATGATATTACAAAATAATTAAATTAAAATTTGAACTTGTTTATATTTCATCTGCACAAAATTTAAAGCTATGATTTCTCTGCCTACTTTTTGACATCAGCTAATTCTTTGAGACATTCACTTACCTAGGGCTTTATGTGAGCTCCAAACCTCTAGGTAAAGTTCTTTTAAAATTGTACATATTAATTTTTACTCAAAGAAAAGTATTTCTCAACATTATTGAAAAGATAGTTTTGGCTGATTTTTTGTTTTTGTTTTTGTTTTGGCTGATTTTTAAGAAGCTAGCTGTAAGCCCATTCAATCAGATTAGTAAAAGCTAAAAAAAAAAAAAAAAATCACAGAGTTTTTTCCATTTGAAATGTTTAAAGTTGAAACTTTCCTAAGAAGCAAATAGAAGGCCACTGCTCCCTGAAAAGATAATGGTCTGATGGGTCTGGGCAGTGAGCATGGCAATGAGCATGTTCTGTTTGACTTATTCTCTGATAATCTGAGCAGTAGTAAAGCGATAAGAGGTCAGGGCCAGTTAGTTTAATAAGCCACCAATACTCTTTGTCAGCTTTCTTTGTACATTCTGGAACTCTTTATTGGCAGGTAATGAAGTCCAGGTCATTAATAGAACAAAGAAAAATATATTAAATAATCCAGCCACATAGACTGCAGCATACTAGTTAACCAATATAAATGCATTGGCAATTAAATTAGATTTGTAACACTAGCCTAATGCTTTTTAGGTACTACAGTGATAAACTGGAGGCTCTCAATCTTGATGGAGTCAAAAGGTATCGGCAGTGTGTCTAATGGTTCTTGGAGTAAGTCATATACACGTGATGCTGACTACAAGGGAAGCAATTTCTTTTTTCAAGTCCTTGAGTGACTGAAGGAGAGAAAAGTATGCATGAAGGCTGGCTTAATACACTTTAATGGTAATTCAAAAATAGCCATTCCCTATTTCTTCTAGATGCTATGTTAACTAAGGAAACAGACTTTTCTTTAACTTTGAGAGCTAAGTGTTGATGCAGGTGGTTCTTTTCTTTTCTTTTCTTCCTTTCCTTTCCTTTTCTCTTCCTTTCTCTCCTCTCCTCCTCCTCTCTTCTCCTTTTCTTCTCACCCAGCGACCAAGCACAGTGGCAAAGGAGACCCTTCACACAGTCAGGGAGATGCTTCACTCCAGAATGTTACTGCGTGAGTCTTGCAGGGCTGCCGGTTCTCATGACAGCATGTCTCTGAGACAGAAGCTGGGAAACATCATCACAGAGACCATCCCTCCTCCATGCAGAGGATAATTTTTCCTCTGTGATCCCCCCACAAAGGTCAGCACACCACATTCGTTGATTTGCAACATACCCCAATGTTCACCTCAAGACCTGGCACATGGCTGGCACTCAGACAAAATTTGTGGAAACTCCTTCCCCATTAGAATGAGTCTCCAAATTTATAGCTAACACAGTGCTCTAAAAGGCAGAGCACTGTATTCATTAAGGATAAGAGGAAGTGTCTGGCCCACATTCATATGAATCAGTACTGAGCTGGGTGGCTGAATAAGCTAAAAATGGTTTTCTACATGTGGATGGGTGGAGCCAAAGACAGTCAAGGGGCCATGCCCCTGGGTGTCATCACTCAGTCTGCAAGTCCCAATGTGCATCATCCAGGTCTGTTTATGATGCCACTTCCCAGATTTACCTGCTCTGTTGCTCACACAGTGTTCCTACACATGCTGTGACTGGTACTGCGTGCTCCCATAAGAGCACTAAGACCTATTTATGCACCACTCCAACCAGCTGCACATTACATGAAGACAGCTGGAACCTAAGCAAGCAGCCAATGACACACTGAAAGGTGGTGAGTCAGAAAAACAAAACAAAACAAAAACCATAGATATCTTTCTCTGAGCTAGTTCGAGGAGAATGGAAGGAGATGGTGGGTCAACCAGACAAGAGTCGTTCAGGAGAAAGGAACAGCTTGAACAGAGTTTGTAAAAAACTAAATACACCACCACCACCACCACCACCAACAACAACAACAACAACAAAAAACCAACAACAACAACTAAATACACCAAATATACACATCTTGATGTGTGAGTAAATGAGCACCCTAATCTACTATGCACATATATATGACTATATATAACTTCTGAATAGGCAATTTAACAGAGAGAATTTATGCTAAGAAAGTAAGCAGATCCGCAGATGAACTGCCAGACCTAAGACAGCCCCAAGAGCACCATCCATAAGTACAATGCCTCTAAGAATGCCATAGATCTAAAATATGTCCCCATGGACCATGGACACATATCCAATGTACACTGTTGAACGAAGACAGCAAGCTGAGAGATTGCACGTACAATGGTGTCCATGTGGGACACGCACTAAATAGACGTGGGCATGCAGAGATAAAAGTGCAGGAGAAAATGATTCAAAGTAGTTTTTTCTGACAAGAACGGATTTAGAATTAGTCTTTCATTTTTATTCTGTTTCACATTGAAAATAGGTACTGCTATTATACTGAGAAAGCAAATAAGTTCTTAAAAACAAAAGCTGATTAAATACCCTTTGAGACCTTATGTTGCTACTACATTACTCCACCAGACTGCCAATATAATCCCAAAAGGACTTCTATGGTTCTCCAGGGTAACTGTTTCAAAAAAGAAATTCTATATATATGAGGAGGAGCTCTTTTTACACATCAATAATTATTTTAAAAGTAAACTTAGATGTCACTGATCAGAAACGAAAGAGACAATATCACAGTTACCTTAAGTAATTCATTCTTTTCAGTAATGATCAGAACTGTCTTAATTTCCTCTTCATTATTAAAGAAAATCTGAAGAAATACCATGGGTTTGTTGGTCTCCACTCCTGTCCACACTGTAGCCTTGCCCTACTCATAAGGCCACTCTTCCTACTGCACTTTCTTGAATTCCTCAGGGTCCTCCTCCAGGAACAAGCCTAAGCTTAGTAGATACCATTCCAGAGGCTTCCTGATCACACTTTAGGAGGTTATGGGTATA